TCAATTCGAAAAATTTTACATGAAGAATAAGGAGTAAGAAGATTAGTTTCTCGTTGGATACCCCACCTGTTGACTGAAGAGCAGAAAGCAGCCACGGTTAACTGGTGTCAAAAAACGCTTGACCTTTTCAATTCCGGAAACTCAAAAAATGTGTACAGCATTGTTAGTGGTGATGAATCGTAGATTTACTGTTATGAACCAGAAAATAAATGACAGTCCGCTGTTTGGGTGTTCCAAGGTGAAGAAAAGCCAACAAAAGTCATCCGTTCTCGAAGTGTTTCGAAATATATTGCAACAACTCCTCTTAATGAGCAAAGAACTGTTACTGCGGATTGGTATACCACGATTTGTTTGCCAAAAGTCATCACCGAGCTTCGAGAAATCAACCTCGAAAGAAGAATCATCCTCCGCCAAGACAATGCAAGCCCGCACACAGCCCAAAAAACAAGGTAGTATTTAACGAAAGAAAACGTGGAATTATTGGACCATCCTCCATATAGTCCCGATCTAAGTCTTAACGATTTCTTTACTTTCCAGAAAATTAAAATCAAACTGCGTGGTCAAAGGTTCCAGTCACCAGAAGAAGCAGATGGAGAATACTTCGAAAAACAATAAAGTCATTTAAAACTACCTACCGGATTGTTTTATTTCCATATGCAAAACTTAAAAGACATGCCCCGTATTCACTTGAAAGGTTCCTGCATTCTACGAGTACGTGATTATTAATAATTATAATAATTATTGTCAAAAACAACGATACTTTGCCAGCAACAAGGAACGAGCCCACCAAACGGTTTTATAACATGTTTCGATAGCATCTAATATAGCCATTAATACCAGCCATAGCATAGAAAGTGAATAGTGAACGTCAATTTACGACGGAACAGTTTTTAAGATAAACGCCGGCTAAGTTACAAGCATGCCTTATCAAAATAAATGAGAAAGCAATATGGCAAGTTATCTTCCAGCCGGTAATAAGAGTGCCAAGATGAGAGACTTGTGCAATTAATTATGCAATACGGCATTATACCTCCCGAAGAGTTATGGCAGAAGATATCGCCAATATTAGCGAATAATCCTTGTTGCTGGGAACGAGATAATTGCATTAGCAGTACCGATCTCAGTTGGGTGGAAAATCGTTGAAAGTGAACAGGAAATCATAATTCATTTCTTATGCGTTAACGATGACGTTTTCTAAATGTAATATACAAACGAAAAAATCTTTCGAGCGGGCGCTTCAAAAGCACCTAAAAAGTTGTCAGGACACAGGTTGAATACTGAGTCGAACTTTTGATTCTTGAAAAGTATTCCTCGGTATTTTTAACTTATAATTATATACAGGGTGTTTCAGTTTATTGTTGCATAACTTTGAGATTCGATAGAACTTTTGAAATTAATGCACAAAGTCTATATAAACATGGGTCGAAAAATGCGTGGATTCCGAAATACAGGGTGTTTAAATTTACTTTCTAAAATAGTTTTTTTTTAAATATTTTGAACAATATTTGATGTACCACAGTGAAAATTGGTATACAAGGGTTTTTTGGTACGACAAAACGAACCATGGGCATAGTTTTACTGTAGCCGCTAGAGGGCGCTCTCTACTGTACCTGTAGTGTATTAAAATGACCGAAAAATTTTTCTTAGTACAATTTTTTGCTTTTTTAATAAAAATACTGATTCTTCGCACTTTTCAACATAAAAAAGCTCTCGTGTGAGTTTTCGTTATAGTTAGCCGTTTTTGAGATATTTCGATTTTTAAGGTTCGATGCATTTTTAATTATTTATGGGAAAATAATATTTTTTTACATTTTCGATTTGGGCATTACAAGTAACTAAGATGATCGTTTAGATTGCGTTTTTAAACACAGCAATAATTCCTAACTCCAAATAAACACAAAAAAACAGAATATTAATTTGTTTAATTTTCCAATATTATTTTTAACGAATTAAATTAATTATTTATATCTAAAATGCTATTGGATAGTTAGGACAAACATACAAAATCTAAAGTAGTTGCTCGAAATGTAAACCCAATTGTTCAATACACAATTCACATCTACGAATGATCGAACGTGGTATAATAGCATTATTCAAATAAGGCCTTATTTCATCACATGCATTCCTGATTCTTTCTATTAGCATATCTCTTGTGGTTACGGGAGTCTGGTACACTTTTTCTTTTAGAAATCGCCACACAAAGAAATCTAATGGATTTAGGTCAGGGGATCGTGGAGGCCAGGTGACTGGTCCTCCACGGCCGATCCATCTTTCTGGATAATTTTCGTCCAGCCAGTTTCTAACTATTCTCGAATGATGAGCTGGACAACCATCAAGCTGGAACCAGGCCAATCTTCTTAAATCTAACATAACATCATCCCACATATTTTCATGTTCAGCCTTTAAAAATTCCAAGAAGGTCGCAGCGTTTAACCTTGCAGGCAGAAGGTAGGGTCCAAATAGTCGATTACGGTAGATACCAATCCACACGTTCACACTAAATTCATGCTGAAATTTTCTTTCCCGGGACTGCATGCGGATTTTCATGCGATCAAATATGTTGATTATGAAAATTTACCACTCCACGTCAAGTGAAGCATGACTCATCGGTCCATAAAACGTTACTTAAAAATTCCCTATTATTATCAGTTTTATCAATAATCCACTGACAAAATGTGATTCTTCGTTCTCCGTCCCCTGGCTGTAGTCCTTGCTCAGGTTGCAAATGGTAAGGACGTCTATGGTCATTTCTAAGAACACGGTGAACATGGCTTGCTGAAATTCCCAAGGCACCAGAAACTCTCATAACACTTGTGGTCGGATCTCTATCAAACTCACGCAGAATCATACGGGTAAATCTGCGCTGACGAACATTTATGTTTTGATCCCTTTGGCGATTTCCAAAACCATTTTCAATTATTTGACGATGCACTCTTACAAATACTGAGCGAGTTAGATGTTGTCTGTTTGGAAATCTTCGTGCGTATTCTCTGGCTGCTTTTGCTGCGTTTCCATTTACAAAGCCATACACAAAATGAATATCCGCTAACTCTTGATTGGAGAATAAAAATGGCATTTTCATAAAACTTACAAAAAAAAAAACAGGTAAAAGAAACTAAATTTCGTGCATTCACAATTGCAAAAAAACGTTTCAGGTTTCAACAGACAACAAAACTAACTGTCAACTAATTGACGTTTAACCTTATTCTGCTTTCAATTTCAAAAATATTTGCAGGCACAGCCTACTTCTAAAAATTATCGAGATACTGACTTTTTAACGTTATTTTATCATAAATAATTGAAAATGCATCGAACCTTAAAAATCGAAATATCTCAAAAACGGCTAACTATAACGAAAATTCACAAGAGAGCTTTTTTATGTCGAAAAGTGCGAAGAATCAGTTTTTTTATTCAAAAAGCAAAAAATTGCACTAAGAAAAAATTTTCGGTCATTTTAATACACTACAGGTACAGTAGAGAGCGCGCTCTAGCGGATACAGTAAAACTATGCCCATGGTTCGTTTTGTCGTACCAAAAAACCCTTGTATACCAATTTTCACTGTTATACAACAAATATTGTTCGAAATATTTAAAAAAAAACTATTTTAGAAAGTAAATTGTATTTCGGAAGCCACGCATTTTTCAACCCATGTTTATATATACTTTATGCCTTAATTTTAAAAGTTCTATCGAATCTTAAAGTTATGCAACAATAAACTGAAACACCCTGTATATATAAATCCAACACTATATAAGCTTTTGACAGTTCCTCTTAAGATAGGCAAAAAAAAGTTGCATTCTTGATGATAGACTAAATTTTTCAAATATCAAATTAGGCTCAGTTTCGTCCTTAGTTTATAGATCCCCCAATTGCTATAATAATGGTTGTCTCGCACACTAAAACAAAGAAGACGTGCATACGAAACGGTACTAACCAGCGCTTCACACCGAATGAAGCGTCGTAATCGTAATTAGTTTAACCTTGATTCGCCGGGCGAATCCGTGAATAATTGCATTTAGTGCTAACGGTGATGACCCGCCTAGGAAATTGTCAAATTAACAGAAGTGATCTTCCAAGAAATGAACTTAAATGGCGATGCGGCGGTGTCTGTGAGACGATGTGAACTGAGTGCTGTTGCAGATCCCATGATTCACGCCATCTTCTTCATGTAACAGTTAATTAAAGAGTGGAAACCGTACAGGAGATTAGACAAACGACAACCTTACCAAAGTAATAAAAGCTTTGATATATTTTATTTGACACATTTAATGTTGCGGAGAAAACTCAGTGTCAAGACATCAGTCATTAATATACTGTGGAATTAAAAAATCCTTTATTTATCTGTTGATATCCTCAAAATAATGTACAGACGCCTGAAAAAAACTTCAAAAACCCCGAACACTTGTGTGAAATTAAGATTTTTCCCATGCCCCTCCAGAATCTTTTCATAATAAAAATAGAAACACCGCTATCATTTTCAATTAAGCTGCGGCCTCGTCTCGTAAATAAAACATGTGTAGTACCCCGTTTCCCGGCCAAACCCACGAGTTCGAAAGGAATCCTGAAGCTGACCTTGCACATCATAATTATCGGTCCACCTTCGCTCCAGTCGTCTAATATTTGTGCTCAGCGATTGCTCGTATGAGGAGCTGCTTCTTCGTCGTTTCTTACGTTTGGACACCTCGACACTGCTGAAAACGTCCCCTTAGAAATCAAAATTGACGTGTCCTACCGTTTTTCCCAAAATATACAAGGAGAGTTTCAAATGGGGGTGCGACCTTTTCGTTGGGCCACCTCGTATTTCTATTTTTTTCATGACCTTACTGATAACATTTTAATTGTGTGTTTTCGCCACAGTTCTGCAAAAAGGACATTCATACCATGTACAATTACAATGATGACAAGTATTTCAAAATGAAAGCCATTGTAATGAAAATGTCGTTTAACTAAAAATGCAAACTAAAGACAAGTTCGTTTGCATCCGATGTCTAGTTCTTACCTCTATATCTATGAGGTTGCCTATTGACCGCTCTCCTTCTAGCTCTAGCCGAGAGAGAATCGAACACGTCAGGTTCGTCCACTCCATCTCCGCGCCTCTCCACCTCCATGGTTTCCGTTTTAAACCTCATCTCGTGGCCTACGTTCACTCCGTTCTGCACGTAGTCTACGTCTTCCTGCTCGCGCGTCTTCAAGTATCTGGAAAATGAGTTAGGTGACTTAGTACTCTGCAAGAGTCTAGATTTTTGTAACAAAGTTTCTTCCCTTATATGCAACAGTCAACATATACTACGTTTTACAGTATATTCAGATAAGAGATAGACGGGACATAAACAAGACCACGTGATCATCGAACGCTGTAACATTCGGCAGGGACGTATTAAGAGTCACGCAGTACATATTTTAGATAGTAGATGCTGCTTTGCGTAACTTTGTAGTAAATTAGCACAATTCGATGTGTATACGATTGGTGATGGATATAGGATCATGTGGGGGTGGGGGTAATAAATATATAATGATGTAAATATACATAAGGGATTCAAAATTTTCGCTTCGATTTCCAGCTTCGGATGCCGCCTGATGTTTGGTGAAATACAGTCGAATATAATCTCAAAATGGCGTTTAAATTAGCCTAAATTAAAATAATCGTATATCTCTTAAAATTGCTTTTAGAATATTGATTAGTATATTTTTTGATTTCTAGATAAATATGTAACCAAATTAAAACGTTCAAAACGTAAAAAAATGTGCATGGTTGAACATTGTCAGAAAGTAGATTCTTGAATAGGTTTTGCCAAAATGGGTTCAAAAATGTCAATAATTAATTAAAAAATACAGTAGCTTTATAATTACTAATAACTTACCGAATTTGATGAACGACATCTTTTATTGGAAAGATGAGCTTGATGAGCTTTCATCATCGTTACTGCCTGAAGCACCAACGTCAATAATGAATGGCTCGACTTGTTCCTCTAAAATATTGTCCAGTTCCCACATTCTCTTTTCAACTTTGTCTTTCACGTGCTTAATACAGTTTTCCCATTTTTGCGCTGTTATTAATTCTAGTGCTTCTTTGAAAAGTCCTTTGAGGTCACAAAAATTTAAAAGTTGTATTGTGCTTAGCTATATAATTTTTAACCTCTGCCCATATGAGCTCAATGGGATTGAGCTCGCAATGGTATGGAGGTAAACGGAGCACAGTTTTATTTTGACTTGCTGCCATTTCGTCAATGGCGTATTTTTGATATTCCGCCTTGTGATCCTTGACAATTCTTAATAATTGTACTTTCAGCATTGCTTCTTCAAAGTTGATATTTTTCGAGCGGAGCCAATTTTGAACATCAACTTTCCTGAAGCCGTTGTTGGGACCTTCTCCATTCTTCGAGAATGATAAGGCGCATTATCCAACACAATTACTGCGTTTTCCTCTAAGTACGGTAAAATTTTTGAAAACCACTGTTCAAACGATTCGCCATTCATTTCCTCGTGGTAATCTCCAGTTTTCTTAGACTCAAAGCACCACAGACCGTCAACAACAAATCCATCCTTACTGCCAATATGGCAGATAATGAGCCTTTTCCCTTTACCTGGAAATCGAAGTACTAACTGGTGTAGATTTATTTCAATAAGCGAACCTTTTTCAAATGTTTTCATCACATTCAGCGAAAAAACATTGAGACATGAGTATCAGATTGCTATAATTGGGATTATTTAGTCATATTGAAAGAAAGAATATTGAACGTCGTATGATTACTCAGCGCTTCACAATTTAATTTAAAGTTAAACCTTTAAAAAATGAATGATTAGGAACCTGAAATACGCGCAAATATTAATATTACCAAATTATAACTTTATAAAGCTTAAAGTATGAATTAACATGATTAGAAATATTAGGAACGGTACACAATATAAAACTTAGTAACTTTTTTTAAGTTTATAATATTCGACATATTTTAAGATTATATTAAAAAATTATTGAAATATCGAAAACACATAAAAACATGGTTTAAAAAAGTTCTAACAAATGAAAATGACAATAAAACATCCGCGCATTTTATCGAAAGTTATAAAAGTTTTGTTACTTGTAATATGTTTTATCTGCCCCCTGGAATTAATGTCTAGAACCTTGTTGCCAAGATTTGAAAAACATCCGATTGTTGTCTATTACTCGTATTTACCTGCTGGATTTTTTAATCCGGTGGACAGTCCATCTAGAAAGGCCCTCCTGAATGAAGTTACAGAATCATCAACCCATACTTTACTTGTAGTGTGTCCTGCGTTTACCCACGTTTCATCAAGGTAATAAATCTTCCTGTTTTGATTTCTATATTTCCCAATTTTTGGTAAATAATCCCTCCTCCATAGCACAATTTCTTCTCTATCCAGTAGTAAACTATTACGACCCTGTTTTTTCCATTTGAAATTTAAATGCTTCAGTAACGCATGGCAAGTTGATCGTTTGAAATTTGGCAACGTTGTATCTCCATTTACCTCCTGCAGTACTTTATCTATAGTAGGTATTTCATTCCTAAAGAAGAATTCATGCACTTTCCTCCTAATCGCATGCTTATCAGCTTCATACAATGATTTAACAATACTTTTGCGATGTTTACTGGTCATTGGCTCAGAAAAGGTGTGATTTTTTTTGTATTGTCTTAACACATTAAACACTGATGCGCGACACACCCCAACTTTGTGAGAAACCTTCACAACAATTTCTTTGATGGTTGATGCCTCGTTCTCCTCGCGCTCGATCTTATATATATTCAAAATGACCTCTTTCATTTCTGCACTCAGGTGTCTTTTTTTAGAGCGTTTCCTAGGTGGACTACAGGAGTTTACAACTTCATCGGCAGTATCTGTACTACTGGGCATTTTGCGCAAGCAGTTGATAACAATAACAATCAATAACAAGGTATAACAATAACAACGACAAACTCAACAATTTAATAAGATAACAAACGAAAACGTCCAAAGAAATATCAAATTGCAATGATGCACACGACATACGTAACACGTCTGAACCTGAATGTGACTCTGCCTTGATAAGACTGCTCTGCCGCTCGGCATAGGCATTTAATTGCGAATCGACCAATGAGGGCTCCTGTTTTACGTCGAGACGGCGGCGTTAGCGTGGAAATCACCCGAACCTTTTGTTTACATCCGGTCTATCTCTTATCTGAATATACTGTAGAAAACTGTGAAAGCCAAAATTAATGCTGTTATTAAGACAAAGCGAGACGTAACGAGCAGTTGAAATGATTAGTGTCAGCCAAATGTTGCGTTATAATTATTAGTTTAGTTTTATAGTTCCATATCATATTACTTGATAATAATATTGTTTTTATGATGACCAAACAATATACTTCAATGTCTTATGAAAGAAAAAAATTACTTTGTAACCTTAAAAAACAAACTTTGAGATAAAATTAGATAATGTCCGAACTATTTTGTGTTAGTGCTCGTATAGCAAGATACATTCTAGTGCTAACCTTTCCGAGCTCTCCTTTTGAAGATTCACGTCCGGCTCATCATCAGACAGGTCTTCATCCTTGGTTTCTTCATGTTCAGTCGTCCGTTGGGTTTCGGTGACGATCTTGCCATCTGGTCTGACACAACTCAACTCCCTGGTATCTTCGGTGTCAACAACTTTGTTGCTCTTCTGTGTGTCTCTAACTAGACGAGGTCCTGTTGAGACTACCGTACGCCCTGCTTCCGAGGAGCGCAGCACGGGACGGAGGTCCTTGGCGCCGCTGCGGACTGCCGCTAGGAACTCCTGGAACAAAACATAATTGATAATAATAATAATCATGTATCGGTGTTACTACACGGATGTGTTTACACACGTGAAAAGTGTACATGTGGAAAAGACATGTCTGCTTTGAAGGCATTTAGAAAATAATTAAAATTCATCAATAATAATAATAATAATAATATTTATTTACTCTAAAATACAGGGAACATGAAATGAGTAAATAAATATAATATATCCATAGGAGGACAACGCCTGTGCATGGATCATATGTATGTTGAATTGCAAAATATAATAAAATAGAGAGAAAAAAGAAATTATTGGTAAGAATGGTAGAGCATTTATTGTGTAATATTTGAGATTATTTTATTAATTTGATTTCTCCCAATCGTGTTAATAAATTTTTTTAATTTTTTTTTGAAGCCTAATGTATTGCGTAATTGTTTTAAATTATTTGGTAAATGTTCGTACAATTTTGGAGCTATATACAGGTGACATCGTTTCATTAGGGATTTGTTTGGTTTAGGAACATTTTTTGCGCGTAATTTATATCTGGTTTTATGATTATGTTTTATTATGTCGTGTTCACTAATAGTTTTGTGATAATGAGTGATGGTATGTAAGAAGTAAAGTTTGTTAGTATCATATACTTGTGCATCATTATATAAGTCATTGGTTGGGTATAATTTTGATTTGCCTAACATTGATTTTAAAATTCTTCTTTGAAGTACATCTAAATCGTTAAAGTATGTCGTGCATGCAGCACCCCACACTACTATACCATATGTTATGTGTGGTTCGACTAAAGCTTGATATATTATTCGTAGATAATATTCAGTTAATATACCGGTTAGAAATTTTATTTTATATGCTATGAATCTAATTTTCTTTAGTATGTGAGAAATATGTACATCCCATCTCAAGTGGGGATCTAGATAAATTCCTAAATATTTTGTATCATTAACTCTATTGATTTTTATATTTTTATCATTTACCTTAAACCGAAGGTGGTTATATTTTGGTAGATGATTAGATAGTGATGAAAATGGTAAAAAATGAGTTTTAGTAAAGTTAATTGTTAATTTTCGGTTATTAAACCACTGAATAATTTTGCAAAAGTCATTTTGGATAATATCTTTTAAGCCGTTCCAATCCTTACCTTTATAGAGTATAGCAGTATCGTCTGCAAAGCTGACTATTTTACCAGTACTGTTAATTTGAATATATCGTTTAAATAAATATTGAATAATAGAGTACCCAAAATTGTACCTTGTGGAACACCACATATAACAAACATTTCTTTACTATACGAGCTTAATAATTTTACTGATTGCGGTCTATTTGATAAATAATTTTCCATTAAAGTATACATCTTTCCACGAAAACCTATTCTTTCTAAGATTTCCAAAAGTATATTGTGGTTAACTGTGTCAAACGCTTTTTGTAAGTCCACAAATACGCATATCGATGGTACTTTTCCATCTATATTTTGGGTTATTTCATCTACTATACTTAATACCCCATCTGTTGTAGATTATATTACATAGTAAACTATAACACATGCAGAAAAACGCCGTGTACTATTTGGACGGATTACAGAGATAGAAGCTTCACCGGGAGATGTGTGTGACAAGGAGACTATGTGCAATATAAAAAAAAACTCAGAAAAAGTGTCTTATTAGGTAGGAAACATTTCAGACCACCCCTGTATACTCGTTAAGCGTGGACTTCTCGGTTCATATTGGATTCTCTAGAGTCCGGAATACAGATTTAAAATTACCGGAAAAATTTGGTGCCGGAAAAAACCTATTTTTTTCCGGAAAAATTGAGGAAAAAAAGGAAAAATACGGAAAAATTGAAATTTGTTATATACAAGATAAAAGTATTCTGGTTACTGATTTTTCCATTAATATAAATCAAACAGAAATAATTTAAATCAAAACCACAAGCTACGGCTCTGAAGGAGTAGTTCTAGGTAAATACCCGTCGATTTTCGGTGAATCCCCGACCACTACAGCTTTCGGTTAATTCCCGATCACGCACGGCGACACGGCATTTCGGTAAATCCCCGTGTTCCTGAATTGTTCAGTTGAGAATGAGATTCTTCAATATTGACACGTCTTGTTTATTTTAAAGCACGCATTTTAATTAAGCGTTATCATAAGCGCAGTAAATGAATAATACAAAGTGAAATTTTGCGCTAATAATTGAGTGTGTTTGTTCTGAAGATTGTTAGTGTTGTTGACCCAAGTGTTTGTTTTGGTTTCTGGTAAGTGAATATTTTATTAAATTTGGAATAGGTTTAAGTGTTTTTCATTACTTTTCTTTATTACTAATATCAAGATTCAGAAATGATAATTATTATCTGTATACTCATTAAATTTCAAGAATTTGATCAGTTGATAAAGTGCAGCAAGATATTTTATTTATGTATTTTGTTCTTGTTGCAGGACAATATGGTTCGACCTTCTTCAGATATTTGGCAATTATTTGATATTGAAAAAACAGATAAAAAATCCAAGGCTGTGTGTAAGTTTTGCTGTTTTAAATACGCCTTTCCAAACGCAACTCGCATGACAAGTCATATATTAAACCAATGTTCAAAATGTCCTTTGGAAATTAAACAAAAATATGGCAATGAAATATGGGGTTGTCCAAAACAGATGCAGGAAAGTAAACGCATATTAAAACAAGAAAGATTGATATTCAAATCAAGTTGGGTACTTTATTTTGAAGGTTCATTTATACCATTTATGTATGAAAAATAATATCGCTCAAATGTTCACCACGACTGGATTTACAGACGTCCACGCGATGGTCGAAATTTTCAATGACATTTTGCAAGATGGTCGGTTCTATGGCATTTATCTCGGCAATGATGTTGTTTTTGAGTTCTTGGAGGGTGGCTGGTTTGTTGACGTAGACTTTGCTTTTCAAATATCCCCATAAAAAGAAGTCCAAGGGAGTCAAATCGCACGATCTTGGTGGCCATGGCACATTTCCTCTGCGCGAAATCACGCGATCACCGAAGAAGGACTGCAATCGATGGATTTTGACGTTGGTTGAGTGGCATGTTGCACCGTCTTGTTGGAAATAAACATCGTCCATATCCATTCCTTCAAGTTGCGGCAAAAAATAGTCCTCTATCATCACGTGATATCGCTCAGAATTGACGGTAACGGCGTCCCCGGCCGCATTTTCGAAAAAGTAACGTCCGATGATGCCTTTTGACCACAATGCACACCACACAGTCAATCTTTGAGGATGCATCGGCTGCTCTTGGTACTCACGGGGATTTTCGTTCGCCCAGATGCGGCAGTTTTGCTTGTTTATCGTCTCATTCAAAGTGAACTGCGCTTCGTCGCTGATGATGATTTTTGATGAAAAATTGGCATCAATTTGGCGATGTTCAAGGAGCCAATCTGAGAACGTTCGGCGCGAAAAATAGTCGAGCCGACGCAGCTCTTGCGTCAATTGGATCTTGTAGGCGTGTACATTCAAATCCTTGTGGAGAATGCGGAGCAAACTGGTTCTCGAAATGCCCAATTCTTGGGATCGACGCGTTGTTGACTGTTTCGGATCGTCTCTCACACTCTCCTTCACAACAGCAATATTTTCCGGTGTGCGAACGCTCTTTGGCTGGCCAGAGCCTGGCAGATTTGCCACAGGACCTGTTGCCTCGAATTTACGTACCAGACGACCGATGGTTGTTTCGTTTGGGCGGTTGTTGCGACCGAAATGTTTACGAAGCGCGCGAAACGTGTTTTTTATTTTTGCACCATTTTTGTAGTGCTCTTGAATAACTTTATTGCGGTCTTCAATCGAATACGACTCCATAGCGATCAATGGTAATCATTCAACTAACAAAATGGCATGTCGGTGACCGAAAACAAAGATGGCGTCTATGTCAAATTGACGTTTACTTTCCTGCGTCCCTATTGGACAACCTTTACAATCGAGTTCGAAGTCTTCGACGTCAGAAGAAAAAGAAAGTAACAAAGATATCCTGCTAGAAGCATTAGAAGATACCAGTCTCCCTTCAACTAGCAAAAGGATACGTCATCAATGTCATCATCTTCCGAATCTCCATTACCATCAGTAAAACGCAAGAAAGCTAGCTGCCAACAAACATTGAGCGGGGTTTTCGATAAGATAGCTGTTTCGGAGTCTTCTAAAATTATTGATGAGGCTCTTTATGCTTCTGGTGCTCCTTTTTCTCTTTTCAAAATAAATATTGGGAGAAGGTTTTTAAAATGTTAAGACCGTCATATCAAATACCTAGCCCTTACGCCCTGTCAACAAACTTACTTAATTCCGTGTACAGATAAACCGAAGTCAAAAGCTTTCTGAATCCGATAGTTTATCAATAGTAACAGATAGTTGGACAGATATAGTCGGAGATGGATTAATCAATATTGTTTTATGCACGCCTATACCTTTATTTTACAAAACTGTTCATCGTGGCACTGCAAAATAAATGGGAACGTATATAAGTAATAAACTTATCAAAGTTATTCAAGAAATAGAGCCACAAATTTTTTTTATAGTGACTGACAATACGAGCAATATGAAAGCTGCTTGGCATATTATAAATACAACATATCCTCATATATCTTGTGTTGGTTGTGCAGCGCACACTCTGAATTTGCTACTAAAGGACTTTATGAAAGAAAATTTGTTTGAAAAAATAAGTAAAGAGTCTAAAAAAATTTGTAGATATTTTGAACAGCACCACATACTTTATGCTGCATTCAAAGAAGCACAGGCCAAAAAATACCCAAAA